AACTATTTCAAACTCCAAGGTCAAGGTCAAAGGTCTTGCTATCAAATGAAAGGCCATGTCACAAGAATTAAATATGTCAAGTACGAAAGCACTAGTCCTTACCATTTAAAAAAAAACTATGGACAAGGTTTGCTTTTGCAAAGTACATGTAGGTCAATTCAAGGTCAAAGGGTCAAAGTTCTTGGTATCCAATGAAGGGTCTTTTCACAAGGATTACATGTTGAAGTATAAGACCACTAGCCCCTAACGTTAAAAAATTATGGCCAAGGGTAAAGTTTTTTTCATAAGTACGAACATCTCCAAGATCAAGGTCTAAATTTCTAGGTAATTGGTATCCAGTAAAAGGTCTTGCCACAAAAATACATATATGAAGTATGCAATTCCTAGCCCTAACCCTTCAAAAGTTATGGCCAATGTTACAAATTTTAAAAATTAGGTCAAACTCAGAGGTTAAAGGGTCATAGGTCTTGCAATCAAATTAAAGGTCTTGTCACAAGGATTGAATAAGTAAAGTATGAAGCAGTAAAAGATTTGGCCGGTGTTTGCTTTTTAAAAGTAGGTCAAACTCCAAGGTAAGGTAGAAGGGTCAAAATTCTGGATATCAAATAAAGGGTCTTTTCACAAAAAATGCATATGTGAAGAATGAAAGCCCTATCCCTTACTATTCAAAATTTATTGCCAAGGTTAAAATTATTTCAATTTTTTTGAAGAATAAATATTCTGGTATCTACTGTTCTAAAGATACTTCCAATGTAAAAGTTTGGAATTTTTGTGTAAAAATAGGGAAAACGCTAAGAAATACACATGTAAAATATGAAAGTCACAGCTCCACTAAATCGAAAGTTATGAGCAATGTTAATGTTTTTTGCGGACAAACAGACAGACAGACAGCTAGACAGACAGCAGGACAGATGGACGGACACGACAAAAGCTAAAGTCCCCTGAAACTTCGTTTACGGGGGCATAAAACAAAAGCAATTACTTATATATGTATTATAACCCGACATATATGACAATATAGACAATATGTAACGCAAAATGTTTGCATGTAACGTCATATTTCTGTTATTTATAATATAAGATTCATATATTTAACTCCTTATAATGGAGTGATTTCGGATACATTTTTTTTACAATCTATTTCCTCATAGCCTGCTGAAAAAAAAACATCGCTGTCAACGCTACTTTTAAAAGTGCTCTGATCATCGATATCAAACACCATTTTTTCAACAATCAAATGACATAACAATCTTACGGTAATTCGTATACTTTCCCAACACTGTGCTAAAATGCTTTTTCTTTTTTTCATTTTTTGTTTACGAACCACAAGAAATTTCTGTTTTTCTCTACCTTGCTATACTAAGATACCGGTAATCACTCTTTTATGGCTGATGTTCGAAATAAAATAGATTTTATTCTATGGAATATTCAGGATAAATATGAATTGATTGCATGTATAAAGCGTATCAATTTTCAGGATACAACTTGTAATATTATACTTTCATGTAAATTACTTGAATCTGATTCGTCGAGAAACATTTGATAAAAAACACTACTACCCGCTGAATAATAAAGCCACGCCCTCCTGCGTAGCAACAGTCAACATTGCTTGCCGACGGGTGGTATTACAAAAAATAGCGACTGCGCGGAATTTATGCGCGCACGGTTCACTGTAATATGTATTTGTATAAAACATTCAGTATAATATAATAAATATTGCATGTAGTTGAATGTAACATTGAAAATTTTCACCCCTCGAAAACCATTGACAACCTTGGCTGCGCCTCGGTTGACAATGGTTTTCTTGGGGTGAAAATTTTCAATGTTACACTCAACTACATGCAATATTTATATAATATTTCATTTTAGGCTAGGATGGATGATTGATGTTTCAATGACTATATACTTTAAATTTACATTATGAGACAAATGATTGCAACGTAATGATATAGTGTATATTTTGAGTTACAAATTAAACTAAATGATATCCATGTACAAGATAATCGAATACTGTAGATTCCTTTTATTAACGAGACCTTATCGCTAATGGGCTCTTCAACGTCAAATCGCGAGAATGGTAATTCGTGAACGGATAGTAAGTAAAGAAATTTCATTTTAGGCTAGGATGGATGATTGATGTTTCAATGACTATATACTTTAAATTTACATTATGAGACAAATGATGGCAACGTAATGATGTAGTGTATATTTTGAGTTACAAATTAAACTAAATGATATCCATGTAAAAGATAATCGAATACTGTAGATTCCTTTTATTAACGAGACCTTATCGCTAATGGGCTCTTCAACGTCAAATCGCGAGAATGGTAATTCGCGAACGGATAGTAAGTAAAGAAATTTAAAATAGATTTCAGCATCATAAAAATAAAGGCGAGTATGGTGTTTCTCGCCAAGTTTCGCGAAATTTAATTCCGCGCGTATATTTAGGAATGTACAGTAATTAGGAAATAATTTTACTGTGCACTAGTAACATAAATATCCATATTGACAGTAAAAGAATTGACTGACGTTTTTCATACCCATTGTTATCCATTATTTATACACTGAATACGTTATATCGCGACTACCAATGAGTACCTCGCAGTTAACTAACTTACTATCGCTCTTTTGCGGGGGAGTCGAGAAAAGTCTAAATTTCTGGGGACAAATGACTTTGTTTACAGTAGTGACATTCGAATGATTCGAACAATTTAATGCCGAAATCACGATGTTTTGCAAGATATTGAACTCCAAATAGTAGATTGTAAAATAAGGAAAGTTTAGAATATTTTAAAAATGTGACGATTTTCAATGAAAATTTAACGACAAGAGTCCGCTTAATTAAAAATATCGTTAAAAATGTAACACTTCAGGATTAGCTCCTGTCAAAAATATATCAGGCTGGTTCAGCGATTGTTAAGCAAGGTTTCCACCAGGATTTTTTACTTATCTGTCCTTATAAATGCTACAATGATCGATCTTGCATTGTATTGAATAGCATATTGCCCCCACCCAACAGACGATTCCTTCCTCCTTCGCGAAAGAGTTCCGCTAAGTTAAGTAATCGCGATATCAAGTATTGACGACGGATTTTTTCCGTTATTTCCTCATCATGACAAAGAGCAAAGGGCGGGTGTGACCGGTCGGTAGGGGATGCTCACTCCTCCATGGCACCTGATCCCACCTCTGATGTTTCGGGGGTTCGGGTTTGTTCTGCTCTTATTTTGTATTGTTTTGTGGACTTTGAGACTTTTCGTGCGTCGTCATTACTTCCGGTCGTTACGAGATGCAAATTTAAAAAAATCGTATTTTCTAACTTTTTTGTTTTTCAGTATTTTTCATTTTTATTTGGTATGGTAATAGAAGCCCTCCTTATAATGCTTACTATATAATTTGTTTGAATGTTGATAAATCTAAAGTCTAGATATTTGCATTCAAAAATCTGAAGCGGGTCCAAAATGGCGGCTGTCTCTGTCAACTCCGCCATTTCGCCAGTAGGGGTTTATGGAGGCAGCTGAGCGTTTGATTAAACCATTCTGACATAAGGAAACATGAAATGTAAAAAACTACTTCGACTCTCACGTAGTAGTGAAATGGTTGGAGGAGTTACCTCCCGTTACTTGTTTATATTATAATAGATAATCAATGTAAATATTGTTAGTAATTAATTAGTCAATTGACTAAAGAATTATACAAGTATTATTGATAAATGATGTTCTGTTAGAAAATAATAATAGTGTTGGCAAAAGAAAATCTGTTTTATTTTATCAATATGATATCTGATAACTTATGATCATTGATTAAGTTGAGGTACAAGGGGGCAGTACAGCCAACTGGCTTGCGCCTTCACTTTGGTACAAAAACCAATTGGTTTATCAATCAAATAGGATTGTGCAAAGTTGCAGTAGTCAGTGACTAGTTAAAATGTAGCTGTGTGACATTAGCTATAGGTTTTTCATTAAGACAAAGAAGCTTTTACAAAGTTAAGTCATACTGTGTAAGTATATTGTAGCCACTTGGCTAGAGTTATATAGGCAACTTGGTAAGCAGTTACACACCAGGCAGATGTTAAAGGCTAAATCAAGAGGTACCATTCAGATAGATGTTGACTTATATAGTCAGTTGTACGAGTATAGTGAGGCAATTATCATATGGCACGAGGCAGGTGCCGGTATTAAATGAAGATATATAATTATACAAAGCACTTAGGTCATTTGATTTAAAGACACCAGGCAGGTGTCATGTTATTATTTGTATATATTGCATTCAATCATATCCCCAGTAAAACTCGGTAATCCGAGCACGGACCTACTGACCGCTCAGATCCGACACGTTACAGTAGTACGTTGCAATTGAGTGTCAATCTTAAAACTTAATTTCCGTTTCACTGCTTTAGTGTAACTGGGCTAGATACGATATGTAATGTGTATAATGTGTTACATATACTTTCTTAACGTCAAAATAAAATAAAGGCGCTAAGAATGTTTTATTTTAAAAATTTAATTGATGCTATCATACCTATCTAATAGATCAGTCCTAAGAAAAGGCGCGAATATTTACTCGTGGCGTTTGGCGCGAAATGCTTTTTATAATTCTTCGACAGGTGAACTGTTGCAAAAGTACCGTGGTATACACAAGTATATTTAGAGCAGTACTCTCAATAGCTTAATGGTTAGCGCGTTGGGGATATAAAAGTAAAAAAAAAAGCGCATTCACGTTGGCGACATGGTTTCAATCCTCCTTGTGACCAAAATTTTGAATCTCTTTTCAGCTCGATTTTACGTGGGTTTCTTTTCCTAAAACGGACGGAAGACCTCTCGTTGCTCGCAACGAGATCGTATCTAGTTTGTTGTTATCATTTTATTTAAGAATTTTGATACTTAGCAAAAATATACTTCTCAAAGCAATTATCCTTCCACTGATTCGGTTTTAGGGACTCTAAAAATGTCCATTGGCAAATGATTTCGAACGTCTGAATCACGTGATATATTTCTTTAACGATTTTCCTTCCCTTTTTTCTGGTAGCCTAAGTCTATAAAAAACTGAGAAAGACGTGCTGTTCTGTGATAGGAATAGTAGAAGAAATATGTAGTAATCTAGAAGGTATCGTATCTTGTTTATTATTTTGATGATTTTTTTTTCAAAGGGCATATCTAGGTTATCATTTTCTTTAAAAGAAATATATAATTTTAGTCAAATAGTATTCTAGTATTTTACAACTGCAGCAACCGATGATGAAAAATCCCACTAATGTTAAAATGTTAAATTAGTATAAATTTTTTTTCGATACATTTTGTTAAATCTGTATCAATATATATGCACTTATATAATCATACCATCGTAATGATAAGATATTCACAAATAAACCAATTTTGATGAAGATAAAATACACTTACTAAAAGATGCATGAGATCATGTATAGTATTACAAATTAAGGATGAAAAAATTGTGCATTAAAAACATAAAATTAGTATTACATGTGTATATCATTAATGAAAAAAATTAATGTATCTTTAGGAAACAAAATAAAAATAATTCAATATAATGCAACATTTTATCCCAAATGCATTTTTTCATTATAGACTGTATACTGTATATAGACTGTTCATTAAAACGCAATATTGCATGCAATGAAACACTTTAAACAAGAAAATCTGTTAACCTATGAATAATTTATCACCTGCATTTTAATTTTAGAAATGGTTATTATCAAATTAATGCTACATACATGTACATTCGTTTCATATCTACGTATATAAAAAACAGAAAAATATTGTTTCGCTGTAAAAAAAAATTGATTTATTGTAAAATTTAATATCTACCTATTACAGGAAAATAACCGATGGAATGGAACTGAATAAGCATGGCGCACATTGGTTCAAAGGGAGTAAAGAAGGGCAATACATTGATTATGTATGAAAAGTTTTTAAAACATTTTTTTCTTTTGTTAACTAGTTACTAATATAATACATATTAGTCTATGTTTTATTCAAAATCCACTTCCGAAGGCATCATCTTAACAGATATTTTACATGCATTGCTTATAATTACAGGTCAAAATGTATTTAAATATAAAAGAAATTATAACGAAAACAATGTCAATAAAATTACTAAATTTTATTTAAATACATCAAATCAATTTAAGGATAAAATTCATAATGTCATTCTTCGAAAAACAATCAGAAAGAAATACTTTTAAAACGTTCTACAGTATCATTAGAACTTAGCTGTTTATCATATTACTTCATTTTCATGACATGTATATTTTTATCGTACATGTAAAGTGTTTTTTTTTAAATTCTTTTTAAAAGGAAGATGATCACAGATATGAAGAGGTAAATAAAACCCAAAGAAACAAGTTTTTTTACATATAAATTTCATTTACTATGCACTACTATCCTTTTTTTTAAATATGTGTTTTCTTCACTTATAAATAATCTAATATTATTGACTATAAAGCTTAGGTGTCAGTCAACAAAAACAAGGAATGTAAAAGAAATTAGCATTTACCATCCAACCACACCTAGGAGATCTTTGAAACCTCTTTTGGCGGTTCTTCTCTTCATCATTCTCATATGCGGACTTGCCTCGACATCTGCATTATATGGTCTCGAGAAAAGAAAATCCGAAGGTAGTCCAAGCTATTCTTACTAATCAGATGACACATTCGTTAATAATGTATGATTTTTCCAACGAAATTGTCATTGAACAGATCGGCTACACTTCCTTATATGGAAGGCAATTTGTTACATGAGACGATGTTTTCGTCACAACCGTTCTCCAATCAAGTGATTATGAGTCCCAAAGCATGATAGTCTACTACGTGTTTAAGATTCAAAAGCGACACCTGTTCTTATTTGGTTTACTGTACTAAAAATTATATTCTAAGGACACTGCTTCATGCTCATGCTTAATGTTGAAATTGTTTAATAACTGCTTAAAATACGATACCTATTCAGAACACTTTGATGTTTGCATGCACATAGGAATATTTGATGATTTGGAGGGGATAAATAATAATTTCGCATCTTGTACTACTGTCTAAAACTATATTATATAGTTAAAGTATATCATTGAGGGAGTCAGCAAGATTCCAGTTCCCCAAGAGTAAGTCTATTTAGGCTTGCTCGAGAGGAACTGGATACTTGCAGACTCCCTCAATGATATATTTCAACTGTTTTATTATACAGATACAAACAAGACATTTGAAAAAGTTATATTCAATACTGTATCCTGTAATAATGTTTAATTCCAACAGAAATAAATAAAAAAAAACAACAAAACAGAATACAGACATGAATAGAATTCCATTTTATCAATGAATCAGTTCCTTGTCCGAGTTTATACTTAGTAAAATTGAGAGTAACATTACGCAAATCTTGACCTAGCCCTTTCTGTTTTCATTTGCTACCAGTAAACTGATTCTTTTTTATTGATATGGAACCAGTTGACTCGCGATGCATTTCGGTTCATTAATGAATATTCATGAGTTTATTCGGAACATTTCTAAGTTTGTCGTAAGTTGAAAGAAAATGCTAAGTGTTTCGAAAAGGTGTGTAACAGTTCATCAAAAACGTACCTTTTTTGCAGAGAATCAGTCTGTTTTGCAGGGAATCGGTTAATTCAAGGTGATTTTCAGGAAATCAGCAAAATATATCGATTTACTTTTATATAGTGAAAAATCATTAGAGGTATAATAAACACATTTATCACATGAAAAAAATACTTCCAATGCCTCATCGACACAATATCACTCACATCTCTTTAAACAATGGTTTGGACCGATGCATTAAAAGTTGATAAAAGGCTTCAGAAACAAATTTTGTAAATTTAAAAAAAATTAGTTTCCAAAGTTAAAATTCAGATTGCCCTTATTTTCATCAGAACAAAGTATTAAACTTGTAGTAGCCCATAATGCATTGAGACTCATTCATCAATGAGTAAAGGAAACAGATAGCTAATCTGCATACAAATGTATGCTTACGTCAGAGAATCTAGTGGTCTCGACATGTTGAAGTATGGCTAGTTTGTAAATTTTTTTTTCTGGGAAATTTAATTTGAAAAAGGAATGCACAGCCAATTTATGTTATCTAAAAATCCTGAGCAGATGACTATAAGTTTAATTGAAATAATTAATTCAATGACTTATGCATCCGTTTCTTGAATTGATTTAAAGACATTTCTTTAGTTCTGCGCTTTTTGGTTAAGAGTACCATTGACGTTTCAGTTCTTCTTGAATTCGAATTTGTTTTAGAAAGTCTTTTTTCCCTTCAACACCTTTGTATCATAAATATTCACTTCTTTGTGTAACAGATAACCATCCGCCGAAATCTTTGATTAAAGATGAATTTTTGAATAACCTATGAAGAGGCCAGAAACCAAAATCAACAAAACAGGGAAACAGAGAGTTGGGTAACAAATGTATTAAATTAAGTATTTCCTTTTAAATATACCTATTTTTATTTTAAATATACACCAATTTAAATAATTATTTCAGGAAGCAGAGGACATAGTTTTCTGATCAGCTTTATCCAAAGTAACAATAATGAAAGTGAATCAAACCGAACAATTATTGTGTCATCAGAAACTGATTTCAATTTAACAGTTTCACTACCAGAGACTAAAAGTTCAAGTCTTGTATCCATTTCTAGTCGTAGAAGTGGAAACATCATCATGAAGAAGTTAGATGTACACTATTCTCTTGTTCCTTTTTACTTCACCCCTGAATATAAAGGTATTATCATCAACACCTCAGTCCCGTCAACTGTATTGTCTTATCATGGACTTCATTTATCTCCAGATACCACAACTGTATTACCAATTACCAAGCTTTCAACATCCTACATACTATTGACAGCACCGCCAACACATAATTATTTCGACAGTGGAAGTCATTTCACAGTTGCTTCTTTGAATGACAATACTCTTGTTAGCATTGTATTCGCACTTGATCATGACACAGATATAGCGCTTCAGGGAAGAAGTTATGGGAGAGGGGACAAATTTAATATTATTTTAAACAGATATCAAACGTTTCAAATAGGACATCAAGCAGATATGACAGGAACAACGATCCATTCTTCCAAACCGGTTGCAGTTTTTGCAGGAAATAGTTGTAGTAATGTCAGTTACTATGGCTACTGCAGTATGCTCATGGAAATGGTTCCACCCACTGAAGAATTAGATAATGTATTCATCGTGCCCCCAAACATTCATAGATTCCAATCGCATGTACGCATTGCATCGATAGAGAAAACGGATATAAAATATAGCACTGAGGAAACCTCTACAAGAACACTTCTTTTGAAAAATCGGTTTGCTGAATTCCTTGTTCGCGAACACGAAATAGGTGTTATATTTTCTACCAAACCTGTGTTAGTGAACAGCATTGCAGCTTCTTCAGCAAATGCTAAAATATATGGCGATGCATTCATGGTCACCATTCCTGGAATTAATCAGTATCTCAACGCTTACACAAATTTCGTGCCTGAGGGGTACAACTTCAGCTTCGTTACTTTTATGATAAAACATGATTCTCTTAGAAATCTTCAAATCAACGGAACAAAATTCAATGTAGAGAGCTGTCTTTTTAAAGCTTCAGTTTCAGTTGGAAAGCATCTTTACTATGTTTGTACTACAAGTGTTTCGAGCGGTGTTATTGATGTTAAAACATCAGATGGGTCGCGATTTGGTTTTATCGTAACTGGTCAACGCGCATTCGATGGTCATGGCTACACTGGAAATACACTGTTGAACATTAATTGTGAGACTTGACAACAACATTGCAAATTAATGATTTTTCCCTTATAATCGAATGAAGTGCAAAGGATCACAGTTTGAATATTTAAGGAAGTCTAATAATGTGCTTGACTACAAACTTTAGTATTCACTATGGAAAAAGGAAAGAAAAAAAGAAGTGTGCTTTGATAAAATGCATTTTAAAATATATTGTATTGTGACAAAAATGAGTTCGCAAAATGGCCGCCGTCATTCATGCGTGCGCTGCGCTTGCGGTATGTAAAGCTTAATTTATATCAATAAAATAAAATTACCACTGACCTTTTTTGTCTTAGTACTTTGTTTTATGGCCTCTAGAGCGTAGAACACTTCGATTTCTCCTAGGAATGCTTGCATATATAGTGCAAAGGGAGATACCCCATATTTCACGGACGATTTGCTCCAGATCATTTGCGTTTCATGTGTCCTCCTTTGTACACGGATTTTTTTTCATTCGCAAGAATTTTTATTCCCGCCTTTTATCCCCACACAATGTAAAATAAATTTAAATTCTGTATTTTCCTTTTATATTTGGCAATCCCTTTGTTCACCGAAAATATTTTCTGCTACAGTACTATCAAGATTATTAAAACATTCATTTGCAATTTTGATGGATTTTTTTTTACTTCGGAATCTCTTCACTATGATATTTTTAGATGAAAGATTCTGGGCAATATATTCACTCTCTACATTATTGTTCAGTTCGTGGAAGATCTTTTACAAGTCGTTGCATGTAAGTATGTTTTAATTCTAGATGATGTATGCAAGTTTTTTTTATATGGTACTAAAGTCTAGATCTATTCCCTTTCTGTGCAATGGTTGAAGATTGTTTTTTATCGTTAATAAGGTTTATTATCAATTGCTGTATGTTCATTAGTGGGAAATATTTCGTGTTCGCCGATAGCAAATTCAACAAATTGGTTTTTAAAACAGTAGTCGTTCTTTTGATTTTTTCAGTAGCCTATTTGATATAACTTGAATATTTGGTGGGACAATGAAAACATAGTCGAGCTTGTCAGCTGGAGGTACCATTTCTATAAGCATATTGCAAAATCCATAATATCCAACACAATTGCACCTATTTCCCGCAAAGATAGCGATAGGATTTGAAGAATTAATCGTTGTTCCTGTCATGTCGGCTTTAATGCCTATTTGGAATGTTTGATACTTGTTCAAAATGATATAGAATATATCACCTCTTCTATAGATTCTCCCTTGCAGTAATATTTTCACGTCATGATCTGCAGCAAACTTTATTATAACAAGCGTGTTCTCTTTCAGAGAAGCAATGGTGAAATGACTTCCGCTACCTGATTTGGAATTTGCCGGTGTCGCTGTTGATATGATGTAAAATGTTGAAAGGTTGTCGATTGGAAATACGGCTGTAGTATCTGAAGATGTTTGATAACTATGGTGAGTCAATACAGATGCTGGGACTGAGGTCTTGGTGATAATAGCTTTATATTCAGGGGTAAAATAAGAAGGAACAAGAGAATAGTGTACATTTAACTTCTTCATGGTGATGTTTCAACTTCTACGACTAGATATGGATATCAGACTCGGACTTTGAATCTCTGGCAGTGAAACTGTTAAATTGAAATCAGTTTCTTGTGTTACAAGGATTGTTCGGTTTGTTTTACTTCCATCGTCGTGACTTTGGATAAAGCTGACTAGAAACTATATCCTCTGCTTCCTGCAACAGTTACATATAATGTGTGTATAGAAAAAAAGAAATATATTAATCTTTAAGAGGAAAAAAATATACATTTCTCACCTAATTCTTTATTTCTATGGCTTGTTGATTTCAGTTTCTGGCCTCTGCAAGGTTCGTTCGAAAATTCATCCTCGCCACAGCTTTAGATTGTTGGTTTTCTGTAACACAGATTAGTGAATAAAATTATCTATGTTTTAATGTTATAAAGGGAAAAAACCATTTTCATAATTTAAATAAAGAAGTCCAGGATACATTTAACAAAACAACTCCAAGAATTTAACGAAATGTCTTTGAATCAAAATATGTAATCAGGGAATGAATGCTTAGTTACTTCAAATTAAACTCCAACACTAACATGAGTCATCTTAAAATGTATTTTTGGATTGTTTCAATTTTTTTTGCTACTATACTGTAAGTTCATGTTTTTGCTACTATACTGTGAGTTCATGTTTTCATTGAAGTCATTGCCTAAAAAACGGTGATTTAGTACGTTTTTTTTTTAGAAATTCATTCGAAAGTTTCAAAACAAAGATCTTTGTAAGTTGCATCACAATAAACAAATTCTTCAATAAAACGATTCTCATAGCCAGGCAACTTTCATACTCCACATATTATAGGCTTATTATAGCCCCAGGGGTTGAAAACCTTACTTTCATGTACTGTTCATGTTGTTTTAAGGTATACACTTGTAAATTAGATTGTTTTTCCTTTATAAATTTAAAATTAAATTCTTTTCCATTTTAGTCCCACCAAACTCCAGTGTTAATCTTTTTCAACTACATTGAATCAATGTTTAAGAATAGTTTCGTATCAATTTGAATTATTCTTGCTCTCTATGTCAGTTGTGTAAATGATTCCTGGTTCAACATAATACAACACGTTTTCTGTATCTCCTCATAATATACAAAAAAATCATCATAGTTATCATGATCATGAGATTCTGAAGCTGTTTTGAAATGTTGAAGTAGATTAAAACACCATAGAATTGTCCTATTGGTAATGCTAGTAATTGCCAATTGGACAGTTATACTAAAGTATATTATCCTCTGGTATATAGCACAAATACATGGTAGGGTACCTTAATTGTTTGAGAGAGAAACTTGTTAAAGTTACCATACTTGAGTTACTCTTTCTTTGGAAAAAAAATTATAAACTATTGGAGAATATATCGACCGACCAAAATAAGATATAGTAATGACAGAGTGGATTACCTTCCAGTTTACTTCTCTCGAGAGCATATTATGTACTTGTCGAGGCAAGTCCGCATACGAGAATGGTAAATAGAAGAACCGCCAAAACATGCTTCAAGTTTCTTGATGTGGTTGGATGCTCAATGCCAATTTGTTCTTTCCTCTTTGTTTCTGTTGACTGACTCCAAAGCTTTATTATAAAAAATGACTTGTTAATGAGAAGTTATGTCAAAAATATTTTAAAAACGTAGTAAACATTTCATAAAATAGATTCATAAACTGAACACGTTTTGTTTCTTTAGGTTTTACCTCTTCATATCTGTGATCATATTCCTTTTTTAAAAAAGAAATAAAATGTATGATTTATTTAAATAAATATCTTGTAAAAGTGTCGTGCAATTTATTCCGTCAGTAAAAAAGATCGTAGACCTCATATTTTGAGTGAAATAAACCAGGAACATTTTATATGAATGCAGAAATATATAAGCGATAATAGATAAAATTATGATATAGAACATACTACTATAAATACTGTAAAACATATTAAAATTGCTTCCTTCGAATTGTTTTCGAAAGAGTAACATTATGGATTTTCCATCCTCTGAGTCATATTAATCTGCTGTTATCAAAATATAATCAACACTTTTCATTGTTATAAATTACACAACATTTTTTTTCTTTTTATCTAAAGTACATTATGGCCTATATTTAAAAGCAATGCATGTAACATCTATCTTAGGGAAAGCTTTTTGATTGCATAATTGACAATTTTATATTATATTTGTAATAGGATAACAAGAGACATGTTATTAAAACTTTCCATAAGTAATCCATAAAATATTCTTCTTTACTCCCTTTAAACCAATATGCACAATCTTTATTCAGTTCCCTTCGATGGTTATTTTTTCTGCATAGGAAAATATTTCTTTTTCAATCTTGCACATTATTTATGCGAATTCCTCCTTCTAAAACCTAAATAAACCTAGTAAATGATATAATGACCTTTTCTAAAATAAATGAAAATGGAGAATGATCCAACGTCTTCAGTGAATTTCAATTAATCAAAAGTAAACGACAGAGCCCTCACCTCCCCCCCCTTAAGGACAGATGATACAAACAATTTTTTTTCTTTGGAAGATACTTAATATCATGTC